GTTTGGGTTAACTATATTGTATTAGGGTTTAGTTTTGAGGGTTTAAAATTTGTTAGAGTCAAAATATTTTTTAGGATTTAGAATTTTAAGATAGCTTTAAAAGTTCATAATTAGTGGTATTTTTGCAAATTGACAATCCATTGTGACATTTTTTAAAAATGGCACACCAAAAATAACATTTTTGCAATTGTTGCCTAACTTATGGCTTATCTTAGTTGTCACTTGGTAGACTTCTAAATTTTATATATCTCTAAAACAAATGAAAAATCCAACAGGGTCTATTAATTCCATTTGTAGATAACCTAACATAAAAGGAAACTAACATTGTCTACTCTATTACTCGGGGGAAAAAATCGAACTCCGTTAGTCCGTTACGTTGTGTAACAATTTTGAGAATAATCTTAATTTAGCAATCGATTAAAATTTCGTTACAAAGATATTGAAGTTCCGTTTGCCATTGTATTTGTTTTGTTTTGTTATAAATTATATTAAAAAAAAAATAATAATTTAGTCTTTTTGTCTTTTCCTTTTGGTTCGTCCGGTTCAGGTGTTACAATTTGTTGGATATAGACAAAGTGCAATGAGTCAGACGAATTGTAAGATTCACATACACATTATTTATTTTTAAAATTTGAATTAATTTGGATTTTGCGTAGATATGGGCTTTTGGAGTGAACAACACCACTCATTAATTATTTAGCCAAAAAAAACAACACCACTCATTAATTAGTATAGAGCCTACTTCAAGTGGCTCAATTCAAAAAGTAAACGGTGTGAATAGATTAGAGTCAACAGTTGCGGGTTAAAAAGATATGGGAAAGATATTTACTTTTGATTAGCGTGAAAATATTGTGGCTCCTTTTCGTATATTTCAACAAAGATTTTTAGTTAATATAATAGTCGCTCGAATAACGGAATTTTCACGTAACAACAATGAACGTGGGGGCTTATTCACCAGAAAAGTGGTTGATGCTTAACGTGCTCATATAAAAATTTCCTGATAGGTGCTAATTATTGACTTTTGACTTACTTAAAAGCATTAATGATAATTCAATTGACTTATCTGTTAATACACTATTTTAAAAAACCGTACAGATCACAGCATTAGGTTCTGTCCTTGTTATGCGGAAGATGTAAAGTACGGCCTCCTCTCTGACTGTAATCCTCATCATTCAAACCCATTGATTTTATACACGTCATGTCTACTTATCTTGTTCTCACAAGTATATGAACCAAAGTTCTTAAGACGTTTTGCAGTATTTTAAAATACTAATTTAATGGCATACATATAGTAATGACTTGGTAATAACGATCTTGAACAGAATATAACAAAAACCTGAGCTTACTTAGTCTTTAGCTTTGGCCTTTGCGTAATCCCATAATCTCCATAGACATAGAATAGATTATTAGCAATGCTTTAAAAATGTAAATTAGATTAGTTGTAGACTACTTATCATATGAGAGATCAGCAAAGTTATTATGCTATAAACGAAGAAACAATGTAACCAGCAAACCAAGTCATGGTTGTCTGGTAGTAAATCATTCGGAGGCATGACGTTAACTCGCTTTTTCTTCGAGGTTAGTTTATAATCGGAACTCTTTTACTTCTTTTTGATCGATATATGTTGAGCCCATTACATATCTAGCAAGCCGACTTCGGCCCTATTTAAAAAATGGTAAACAAACAATTCAACGGTTACACTCATCAATTAGATTAGCCGAATTTCGATTATGATTAACTTTATTTTTAAAATAATGTAAACAAGCTCCTAAACACAAATCATAAATGGGATTTTCAGTACCCAACTTATATTAATATGGGCTGTAAGTTTATTATAACTGCAAGTAACTAATTTTTGAAAAAGAAATAAAAAATCTGATCGGCTTGATGAGCTTCCTGAAAAATCCATATCATTTAGATTTTATCATACTTATTACTTTTTTTTTTTTTTGAACATCTGACTTTCCATTAATCTTTAAAAGTTGTGCATAATTGTTGAAGACAATTGATGAATACATGTTTTGTATCATTCGAACACCTGCAAATAACATGCAAATAACTTGATACAATGATATATATCACTAACCAAATTATCTATTGCTATGCCCACTCTTCGATTATATACAACTGCTTCATTGAACCGGCAGATGCAACGTCGCCGGACGAGAACTCTACCATTGAGAGACAAGTCGGTTATGTATTGGAACCGACACCCAGCAAGATCACCATTGACCATCGTCGCACAATATCATCACGTAACGGTCCTGGCTTTTGGCACTTTCGTCAATGTGATTGATGAATAACCCACATGAAAATCGATAAAACCCCACCGAAGATCCGCATCCCAGATATAGCACTCTACCATGTGAGAATAAACGGCTACAAAGAACCAATCTACACAAATAAAAGGAAATATGGGATCGTTGGGCATCTCCATCTCCACGGACTTAGATCAAC